TTCCGATCTTATAAGAGACAATAGCATCGCGACAAGATAATATGTAACTGTTTTGAAGTCACACAAATTTCTCATTCTCGATTCTCGGTTTAATTAAGTCAATATTTGACGATTAATTATCATTAATTTTATCATTGTTGATAAACGCGCGCGATTTAAATATAATACACTGTTTTATAAAATTTCAATATTTAAATAGCTCGGTATAAATGCAAATTCTACAAGTATAAAAGCAAAGTATAATATTTTTATGTTGTCTTTTTCGATAATTATTTATTTACATTCATTAAGTTATCTATTCTAGATTGCAATGAGAAGAAATGTTATCAATATATTTAAATGAATGATTTAGAAAACTGCGATGCGAACACCTGTATAAAACATTTTACACGGCACTTTTTACTTAAGGGTTAAAAGGACTATCGCTCTTTTTACGCAGGCATGTGCGAAAGTGCGTCGAGATAAATGGAGGTATGCAATTATCGAAATCACATTTCTTCAAGCACTTGAGGAAATCCGATACTATCGTCTGTGCACGAAAATTGAGTTTGGCTTGTAATAGGTGCAAAGGCCCGAGCAAAAGGGAAACGCGATATTCTGTTTCACGGCGTGGAGAGGCAATCGTATAGAGACATTTTTTTCTCATCTATTTTCGTAGCAGAATGATTACTTTTTTACCTATACCTGTATATGAAGTTTACCTTTCCTATGTTTGAATAAAATTTATTTAACAATTATTTCGGTATTTATCTAATATCTACGCTCGCATTGGATTTATAGATATAAAAAATAGACTCATTATCAGCTATGCATTTTCTACAGGAAATTGTTGCGTTAACTATCGTGAGAAAAATAGAAAAAAAAACAGATTTTTTTACTAATTTATATTAGATAGATATTAAAATAATTTTTAAATAAATTTTATTCAAACATAGAAAAAACAAACTTCATATATAGGTATAGATAAGAAAGTAATCTTTTTTTTTTCTTTTTTTCTCTATAGAAATAAATATATATAGCCAGTATATGCTGATCTATCTATTTTTTACGCTCGGATTTGATCATGTATGTAAATCAATGATCGGCTATTGTTAGCACTTTATCTCAATTTTAGATTAAAAATTTTACATTAATCTCTTTTAATCTTTTTCTTAGTAAGAATGATTGATTTTCATAAAAAATACAAACGCGGGAAAAGAATCGCTTGAACAACTTGACCCAATTTTAGAATTTGCGCAATTCTTTAATGACGCTTACAATTAGACATGAATCTTTAAGTACTCACGTCGGGCCAATTTGATCATATCCATTTTTCTTTCGCTTGAATTTTTTATTATAAAAAAGAATGTGTGAAAAGAAAAAGCTAATCTCCCTCCTCATTTTGTATATAAGCGTAGTTCCTTAATGACGCTTACAATTAGACATTAATCTTTAAGTACTCACGTCGAGCCAATTTCACCATATCCATTTTTCTTTCGCTTGAATCTTTTATAAAAAATGTGTAAAAAGAAAAAGCTAATTTCTCTCATATCTTTCTTGCATTGTAAAATCCATAAGCGATTTTTGACGATCATTCTCATAATAATTTACTATAATACTTTTTTAGACGACGTACAGGCGCATTCCGCGCTACAACAACCTTATCGTAATGATAAAGCCTATTTAGAAAGCCTGTTCATAGTTGAATTTTAAGAATTAATTCTATTTTTGGTAAAACTGCATAAAAAGTAATACACCTCCGATTTTATCGCCACTTAAATATGTTGTAGGGGAGGTTCTTCTGAGTAATTAAAGCCGCAAGAAATAAATGGGGGACGGCATTGGTTTAGAAGATATAACAAATTGAAATTTCACAGTTTTAATGCTTTTTCTCAAGTATTATAAAGTAATATTAGGAAAAGTGAAGTTTGTGTACGTTGTATTTGTTGTAGAGAGTAGACGAAAAAGTGTTTGTTTACATTTACGGGAGGTATACAGTGGATATTTTATCAATGTGTTTCACCTATTTCTCGCAGTTCGTCAACAGCTTTCAAAGTGTAACTACACGAATTTGTGAGTCTTGCTTTGAAAAATATTATTTATTGAATGCGTGGACGGGGGAGGGATTCCGCCCCGTAAATGTCATAAACAGTTTTTTCAATGAAAAAATAACAAACTATACAGCATACACATACTTTAATATCAAACTTTAATTTGTTATATTTTCTAAACCAATGCCGTCCCTCACTTATTTCTTGCGGGGAATTACTCATTGTCAGAAGAACCTCCCCTTACTTATTTAAGTGGCGATAAAATCGTTGGTGTATTACCTTTTATGCAGTTTTACCCTATTTTTAAAAGATAAAACTATGATATCTCTAAAATCATTGAAAAAGAAATAAATCTTGATACACATTAAAAAGTTACTTTGAATAAAACTATATTGGCATCAATAAAATATTCGATATGATTTTGACAAAGTTAACTCCATTAAAGGTTTAAATCACTTACAAAATATAAATTAAAAAATTTTTATCACAGACTGATAATTACTTTTTAAATAAAACAGAAAATAATATCAAACATTCTTAGTTTAAATTTAATCTATGAGATAAAAGTTTTAGAAACTTTCTTTTATATGTGTTTATTCTTTTTGTTATAAATTTACTTAATGCGAAATAACTTTTCTGACACAATTAATCAGGCTGACCAGTATATACCTTGCAAGATATCTTCATAAACATTATATTATGTCAAAATATAATTACTCAATTAAGTGAATAGAATAATTCGCAAAGCTTTACCAAACGCATCTGTCTTTACCAAGTTAAGACGCGCTTAAGTAGTTTTGGGGAAGTAAGCCACTTAAGCACACGTCTTAGCTTAGTAGGCGATGTATCAACGTATATCACAAACTGCAATCTGTCTTTATCTCATCAGTCTAACGTCGCGTTCTCGATCCATCTCCGCGAAGGGCATTTCCAACGGGTTGTTCTTGAATCATTGAACGATCGACTAAGCTTCGTCTCGTATCTCTGCCTCCTTCTTTTCTCCGCTTGTCACCGCAAATCGACGTCATCGAAGTCTCGGTTGTCAAAGAAACAAATACGAAATAAAGTACGTTCTTGGTTTTCTTTTTCTTTCTCGGTTGCAGCCCGATGGTCTGGGTATCGCAGTATCGCGAAATGAGGATGACAGGTCATGGCGTTGCGCAGGTCGTCGTCGCTGACGTCGGGAGCGATCAGCAGGTGACGGATGATCAGGTGAATCGCGTGCCGGTATGCCTGACACAGGCCGACACCGTCGCCAGTGTCACGTTCTTCCTGCTATTGGTGTTGCTCTTCTTCGTCACGCCGTTCGTGATACTCGTGGTCCTATACTCGTTCATCGTGAGCCACCTTATTCGCGACTCGTCCGGTAACACCACCAGCGACTCGTATCACAGCCGTGCCAGGAGACAGGTGGTGTACATGCTGCTGACCATAGTCATAAGCTTCTTCGTGTGCCTGTCGCCCTACCGGCTCCTCATCTTCTACATCGTGATAGCGCCCGCCGAAGAGATAGCCGCGATCGATTACGACACGTTTTTCGGCCTTCTCAATTTCTGCAGGATCATGTTTTATTTGAACAGCGCCGGCAATCCGATACTCTACAATCTGATGAGCAGCAAATTCAGACGAGGTTTCCTGAAACTCTGCGGTCTTGCGAGCGAGAGAGGCACGCGTCTGAGGAGCACGATTGTTGGCGCGAGGAGAATCGCAACGAATCAACAGGAGGATCCAAATCAGGAGGAGAACTTTTTGTGAAATGTAGAGTAAGAGAAACGATATGACTGTGACTTGCCGTCCAATGCAAAATAATATGGTTCTACGTATAAAGGATCTCAATGACGTATTAAATGAAAATGTCAGTTAATATTGAACAAAATATTAACGTTGACATTTTTTCGAAACCAGAAAACTATGCTCAATTTGATATGCTTGCAATAAAACGATATGAAAGTATTAAAAATACTTACCGTGAAGAAAGAAATATATAAATATATAAATATAACTATCGAAAAGTTATACTTATCGAAAAGGAAAGCATTGAAAAATCATACATATCTATATTACGAATGAATGTAGAAAAGTATTGGAAAATAATATTTATAACAGAAGAAAGAGGAGTATTAAAAAATGGTAACTTTTATTTGTACTCATGCAATAAATCACTGGAAGAAAGAGAGAGAAAAACTTAAGACTGAATGAGAAAAGGAGAACTTCTGTGCTAAATTGAATGGGACTAACGTGAGAAAAACTTTCGACATTCTATGAGATATTAAACTTCGATTTTCGCGAAAGTTATGCGCGAGAATCGAACGAACGATTTGCGCGAATAAGCTTGAAAAGTTTCGAGTTTAAGTAATGTGATTTTATTATTCAGTATTGCAGGCGATTAAGTGTACACGAATCTGATAATAACTAAATGTCACATGAATATTTCTTATATTAATATTTTTAATGCAAAAATATATGGAATTTTCGTGAATCTCATGAATGTCAAATGACCTTATCCTCCTTCTTCCGCAAGTTTTTTTTATTTTTAAAAATCATAAATTATTAATATTTATTGTATATTTACTTTGCCCAAGAAAAATTTTTATTAAAATACTTTTTTTAATAGGTATTGTATTTTAGAGAGACTTAATGCTGTGCATGGTACGCAACATTATGATAATTTACTAAAAGCTTCGTTACACGCGACACGTGCACGCGACAATAATCGATCTCTGTCTCTTTTAACACATTTTAGTCCGATATTGCTAATGGTAACCTACGAGATGGAGGAGAACGACGACGGTTCGTACATCCCTACTTGTACAACGTCACCTTCGATGGAATGGATGACGGGCTTCATTCTGACGACCATCGTGGTATTCTTCGTGATTCCCCTGCTGATCTTGATAGTCCTATATTCGGTGATCGCGAGACACCTGATGGCGAATCCGACAATAAGTCGTGGACCGGCGAACAACCTGCTTAAATATCGCAAGCAGGTAGTCCTGATGCTGGGCACGGTGGTGCTGTGCTTCTTTCTGTGCCTGTTACCCTTTAAAGCTTTTACCCTCTGGATCATCATCACGCCACCTAACATAGTCGTCTCGCTGGGCATAGAGGGCTACTACAGCCTTCTGTATTTTTGTAGAATAATGTTGTATTTGAACTCGGCGATCAATCCAATCCTTTACAATTTGATGTCGACCAAATTCAGGGAGGGTTTTCTCAGACTGTGTGGCCTGGGGCCTACTAGACGGAAAAAGAAGAAGACGTCGGAACGTACGGGCACCTATACGACCGGATCGACCAATTGCAGCAGCAATCACTCGGACTTTTGGCGAAGACACAGCAGCAACAAGAGCTGCACCGTCAAAGTACCATGCAATGATCAAGCACCTGCGGACAAACAGATTAAATTGCCTTTGCTTACCGCCGTCGTGGCCGGAAGTATCGTTAAGAAGAAGCAGGAAAGTTACGTTTGACTTTTCATAGGCCAGACTGATTTAGAACGCTTTATCTTGTCGCTCTGTCTTGCGACTTTTTGGAACTTTCCGTTTTATATCATCTTGCGAAATTATAATTGAATATTCGAGCATTATTTATCAAGGTGACTATATATTTTAATGAATACTTTGCGTATAATGACATAATTTATTAAGCACAATCCGTTAAACGATTAAATACGGATCTATAAATTGCGCAATAATGGAACTGGATGTTCTCTTGTCCCTCGATATACTCCAGTTCTTTTTGTTGTCTTACTATCCCGGTATTTCCATATTTGTATATGTGTGATTACATAAATAATTTATTAAAATTAAATAATTAATGATAGACTATTTATAGATTTTGTAGCAATGGCTATGGAATAATTGTTAATTAAATGTTCACTGAATGTTACTACGTCAGCGTTAAATTAGATGCGATTCACAAGTCCAAACGAGATTAGAGTACAATAATTGTACTAGATATTCGCTGTGACGAGATCATGTTATATGATTTTAGTTCCTCGATTTTATACGTAACATATACATGTTGTACATATATATAATATAGACCTATAAACTACGTAACACGGTAAGTAGAAATGGTTCTGCCAACAATTAAGAAATGCATAGGAAAAGTAAAGAGCGCAATTATTTGTTCCTAAATATTTTAACTTAAATATTGTGATACATTTAATTTAAAGATTTAATGGAGTAAATATGTAGGCAAACGAGAACTAAATATAGTAGGCATAGAAAAAATGCGCTCTTATGCAAATAACGAATTTATTTTTAATGATTTTTCTCATATCTTGCTTTTTAACATTTTTGCATTAGCATTGAAATCGTTTTGTTGTATGTATTTTAGGAATAAAAAATTCGCTATTTCACCGATGGAATCACAAATAAAATTCGATGATGAAGCAAGATGTTATTCAAAGTGAAAGCAAAATCGTAAATTTTGTATATAAAGTCAGAATTAAATTGCATTTTAATTTGATGCGACTTTGTTATCGAATATAGTAGTTATAATGTGTGATAGGTATTTTCTATGATGCAGGCATCTAAGAATAAATATCTTTTAATGAGGGTAGATAATTTAAATATGAGGTACGGCTTGAAAAACTATCGCGTACTAAACACAATCGCAAAGTAGCAAATTTACATGAAATATTCCAAAAACTACGAAGCTTTTATGCAATTGTAGAAATGCTCATATAAAAAAAGGTTCTAGGAATTTTTAGCATTAGCTGCATCTTGTTTTATAACGAAATAAAAGAAAAGTCTGACTTAAATATATATATACATGGTCGGTGTTTTCACTGCTAAGCTAATGACAATTCAATTCACCGAACATACAGTCGACTCGAAAAATTGCAACGCTGTTAGCTGTGCTATTTTTAATGGCATTCTTTTTCATTAACAAGTAGTCTTTAATAAAGATGATTAATGCATAAATTTTTATCATAAGTTAATTATTTATTATTATTTATTATAATTGCCAAAGATATTTTATAAGGAAAAAGAGAGAACGAACACTTTACAAAAATTATTTTTGAAGTTATCTTTAAAAAAAAACTTATATTATTATTGTTACATCATTCGATATCAAGTTGATCAAGTTTTTAATATTAATGAAAATTTTTTAATATTACAGAAATTGTACCAATATTGTTTATATAAATTTTTTTTGTGCCAATATTATTTATAAAAGTTTTATAGGAAACAATAAAATATTAACGAAATTAACTAACACCCGATACACATACGCAGCTATATGTTATATGTATATAAAAATCTTGAAATTCAAGACCAGAAAACAAAAGCATTCATGAAAAATAGAATGTAAGAGTTACGTCCGATATTAAATATAATAAAAAAATATTGATATCCATTACGTGTTAAAGTATTATGTCGGCTCTGCTATAATCTATAATATTCGATAGAACTATGGTTCAATTGAGCAGCAGCATCCATTTACGAACATTACTGTTTGGATTTAAGGATATAAATTTAAATTATCGCATGAATTATGGCGCTAAAAACCAGATCAACGCAAAAATCTTGTATAGAAAGTAAATCGGAATTCTGCCATTTTTTCTCAATTTTAAATTTATATATATATATATATAATATTTTTAAATTTAATTATAGAATATTATATCGCAAATAATTTTTTATCTGTTTTAATATTAACAATAAGTTATATCGACAATTAAGACTCAATATCTATAAAGTGAAACCTGCTTTGAGGTTACTACAAATTTGATTTGCGGTTTAATTTGCTTAATTCCTTACATCAAATAAACGTGGAATCCATGTCTTTGGCAAATATTCTCGTGAAGCGAAACCACCTTCTAATTCATCAAGAAATTTACGGGAAACTGAGAGAGAAAAGTGAAACCGGTTACTACAAATTTGATTTGCGGTTTAATTTGCTTAATTCCTTACATCAAATAAACGTGGAATCCATGTCTTTGGCAAATTGGCAAAT